CCCCCCCCAGCCATTGTCCAGATAAGAGGTGACGTTCATCTTCAGCTCAGTTGAGGTTCTGTCACATGTCCACGGCCTTGGGGAAGGGAGGGGTGAGGAAACAGTCATACCATACCATACCATACCAATTTATTTATATAGCACTTAAAACAGCAACAAGGCCAACCAAAGTGCTGTACAAAAGAACCAAACATGCACAGCAGACAGGAAAACATAAAATAGAAATACAGATACAAATAGCAGCAGAAGCTAACTAAAATGGCCAACAGAGTAGAGAACAGACCGGACCAAAACAAATCACACCGTGTTAAAGGCAAGCGAATAGAAGTGGGTCTTCAAGCGAGACTTAAAGACTGAGAGTGTGGGAGCCTGCCGGACACTCAGTGGCAGCTCATTCCACAGTCGTGGACCTGCAACAGAGAAAGCCCTGTCACCTCTGAGCTTACGACGGGTTTCTGGGACTGAGAGAAGCATCTGGTCTGCTGACCTCAGAGAGCGCGGTGGGACATATGGCTGCAGAAGATCAGTGAGATAGGATGGGGCGGAACTGTTCAGTGATTTAAAAACATACATGAGAATTTTGAAATGGATCCGAAGGTGAATGGGTAGCCAGTGCAGGGAGGCCAAAACTGGCGTGATGTGCTCTCTATAGCCTGTACCAGTTAAAAATCGGGCTGCAGCATTTTGGACCAGTTGTAGACGAGCAATGGAGGACTGACTGATTCCAAACAGAAGTGAATTGCAGTAATCAAGCCTAGATGTTATGAAGGCGTGGATCACTGTCTCGAGGTTCTTTTTGGAGAGTATAGGCTTCAGCTTAGACAGCCGTCTCAGCTGAAAAAAACAGGATTTGACCATCATGTTTACGTGACTGTTGAGTTTTAAGGACAGGTCCATTATCACCCCCAGATTAGTCACCTTTTGTTTCTCTAGCGGGGCTAGAGAGAAAAGGTCAATGTCATGGTTCATGAGTGAGCCACTGGGATGGAACAGCATGACTTCAGACTTCTTCTCATTGAAGCTTAAGAAGTTTAAAGCCATCCAGTCCCGGATGTCAGCCAGGCAGTCAAGAAGAGGCTGAATAGAGCGTGTGCCTCTGTGCCTCAGGGGGAAGTAAATTTGGCAATCATCGGCATAGAAATGAAAGGGTATGTCGTGTTTGCGGAAGATAGCACCTAGTGGCAGCAGGTATAAAGAAAAGAGAAGGGGACCGAGGATGGACCCCTGCGGTACCCCCTCTGGAGTGCGGTCGATGCCGAACTAAAATCTTTGATATTGACACAGAAGGTTCTGTCAGAGAGGTAGGACCCAAACCATTTAAGGGCTGACCCTGTGATGCCCACCCACTGCTCCAGTCTAGAAATGAGGATATTGTGGTCGATGGTGTCAAAAGCAGATGTAAGGTCCAATAGGACAAGCAGCACAGAATCACCTGCGTCTGTGGATATGAAAATGTCATTAAAAACCTTCAGTAGAGCAGTTTCAGTGCTATGGAGAGATTTGAAGCCAGATTGGAATAACACAAGGATAGCGTGATCCCCCAAAAACTGTTTCAACTGAGACTCCACAATTTTTTCCAGTAGTTTAGAGGTGAATGGGAGTCTGGAGACAGGCCGGAAGTTGGACATGACTGAGGGGTCAAGGTTAGGTTTTTTCAGGAGGGGCTGGACAGCAGCATGTTTAAAAGTCTTTGGCACCACACCTGAGGATAAACTGCTATTCAGAATAGCGAGGATAAAAGGACCCAGGGTAGGAAAAACTTCCTTTAGCAGTCGAGGGGGGACCACATCAAAGGGGGAACCAGATGGCTTCATGCTGCACATTACCTGCTCCAGAGAGGACAGAGAGATGGGCTCAAAGTGGTCAAACACAGCCACACACTGAGAAGGGATGGACAGATCATGAGCTGGTGGAGATATGAGTGCCCGGGTGTTTGCCACTTTTTCTAAAAAGAAATGGAGGAAGTTCTCACACAGCTCAGTTGAGGCTTCCAGAGGTGAAGGCTCACTGAGGTGTAGAACTGAGTTCAGGGTGGAGAAAAGAACTCGGGGGTTGTGGGAGTTGGAGACAATTAAATCAGAGAAGAATTTACATTTGGCAGCTTTAACGGTTTTCTGATAGTGACGCCAACTCTCCCTTAACATTTGAAAAGACACCTGGAGCCTGTCCTTCCTCCACCTTCGTTCAGCTTTGCGACACTGCCGCCTAACGGCTCGCGTGACGTCATTCAGCCAAGGCTCTGATTTAAGTTTTGTTTTTCTGGTCTTAAGGGGAGCAACACGGTCCAGAACATTTAAACAGGCAGAGTTGAACTGAGAGGTTAGCTCCTCAGTGGTAAGAGACACCGAGAGCTGTTCGATCCTCTCAGAATTAAAACCTTCATTAAAACGAGCAGCAGTGAAATGGTTAATGGAACGCGTACGTGCAGGAACGCACGTCTTAGCAGTAGGACAAGGGGGGGGTGAAGTCAAACAATACAGGCATGTGATCTGAAAAAACATTGTCACCGATTTTCAAATTAGAAACAGAGACATCGCGTGTTAAAACGAGGTCCAGCGTGTGACCATGTTCTTGGGTGGGGCCGCTCACCTGCTGAGCTAAATTAAAAGAGTCCAATAAATCCATAAAGTCCTTCACTAAGGGCTTCTCCTGACAACACACATGCAAATTAAAGTCACCAATAAGCAAAAAGTGAGTGTATCTCTGTGTGATATCAGCCAAAAAGTCAGAGAATTCATTTATGAAGTCCTTAGAACGAGGTGGGCGGTAGATGAGCGCACACAGGACCGGAGGAGAGTGTCCAAGTTCAAAGGCGCTCAGCTCGAAGCTGGCGCGGGACACCAGGATGGACAACTGTTTACATGCAAAGTTTGCTTTAAAAACTGTTAATACCCCCCCCCCCACGCCAACCTGATGGCCGCGGGGCATTGAAACATAAACAGTCCGGAGGAAGTAGTTCCACCAGGGCGCTGGACTCACCATCAGAAATCCAAGATTCCGTGACAAACAGAAAATCCAACTCCTCATCTTTAAAAAAGTCATTGAGGATAAACGTCTTGTTGGAAACAGACCTTGCGTTGATTAAACACATCCTGATATTGTCCAACACAGGCACAGCCGTGGAGGGAGACGCGCGCGCCAGCGGGCGCAGGTTATCAAAGTCAAAGCATCTTTGTTGTTTTCAAAACATTTCAGGAGGAGTTGAGATAAGT